CCCGATGCGGGACTCGATCCCGGGACTCCAGGATCATGACCTGAGCCGAAGGCAGTCGCTTAACCAACTGAGCCACCCAGGCGCCCCTCCACATCATAAATTATTCACGTTATCTTTTTCCATGAACTGTGTAGAAGCCATCAATTTCTGAAGACTCTTTTGAAGGTGTGGGGAATCACAAAAATTATAGGTCAGAAGGTCTCAAATGCTACCCTACCATTAACTAAGTTATGTTGTCATAGGAAAATAATCACAATTTTGAACTGGTGGCTTTAGATGTGTTACATCCTATTAATAATGATTTGTTATTAACATATATTCTCACCATTATTTTTGGCAGGAAGAAAAGCTGGTAGATTTCCTTTCTAAATTAATTTATTTCTCTGTGAAGGTAATATATTTTGCAAAAATTTAAAACTACAGTGAAAATCTTCTACCCCATCCACCATCTGCCCTACCATCACCAAGCATTGATTTTACTTTCATAAATACATCTACAAGATAAATCCCTAGCAGCAAAATTCTGGATATAAGGTTACATGCATTTTGTAGATATTGCCATATTGTCTTCCACAAGGGTACAACAGTTTGTCTATCCCACTGGTCATATATAATCATGTATTTTCCACAACCTTGGCAGCATAGTGTGTTTCAGACTTGGATATTTGTCAGTGCAATAGATCAGATTTTCGGATCTCTCATTACAACAAAGTCTAGCTTCTTTATGTATGTTTAAAATCCATTTATGTTTTCTTTTCTGTGGACTGTCCTTAACTTCTGTCCAGTTTTTCTCTGGCTTTTTGGCCTTTTTAAAATTAATTTGCAGAAGCTTTCTTATGTTTTAGGAAAATTAGTCCCTTATCTGAGATGTCACAGATATTTTTTTTCACTATTTGTCATTTGTCCTTTGACTTTGTTTTTAGGGGATTTTTTTTTTTTGCCATTCGAAAGTCTCTCATTTTTATGTAGTCCAATCAACTAATATCTTTGTCTGTTAATTAAGGCTATTTCACTTGAGGATAAAATTACCTTCTTTATGTTGACTACTCTGGACATGCGTTGCTTCTTAAATTGAAAAAAAATTAATCCTAAATTTTGAAATTGTTTATCTTTCATTCACCAGATATTTATTGAAAACCTATCATGTGTAGGAACTCAGTTCATCCAGAAATCAAAGCTCAGTGAGGGAAGTCAATGTAAATAACAAAGAGTATAAGGCAAATGCTATGATGGTGGGAAGCACAAGATCTGTGAGGATATACCCAGTGCAGATGTCATAACTAACCTGAAAACTACACGTGCCCCACAATCTCATTATAAGCTATCATTTATTTTTTTCAGATATTAGTCAAATCTCACCCATTGAACTGTTTGCTATCTGGAATTGTTCTACCTCTAGAACCAGGAAAGGATGGGTTGCGAGTGTGAGAAGACTAACAATCTCAGTTGAAAGTTACCTGGATTTCTGTGCTGATATGTGAACCCTATTTGTGATCAGATATAAATGAGTTCATAGCTCAATTTTAGAGATTTTAAGAAAATATGATGGCTGTTATTTCCATTAACTTCAGAATGTAGAGGCTTTTAGACGCTACAAGTTGAAGCTATAAAGTATTTTTCACATGTACTTGTGACTAGAAAATAATCCGATAAAAATAAACTCATAACTTCCTTATAAATGCTGGAAAAGGTAAGTAGAAAGCATTATTAGATTCTGTATTATAGACCTGGAATTACATTTGTGATATCAACTCTCTCTCTCTCACACACACACCACATGCACACATGCACACAGACACACAAACACTCAGACATGCACACACAAATACGTTGTCCATCACCATAGATGTCATTATGGGTTAGAACTCACGAAACACAAATAGGCCTTTACCTAATACTTTGTTTACCTGACTTTATAGCAGGATACAAGTCAAATAGAGCAGATAACAGCATCACAGTTCATTATCCATGAACAAGCATTGCATGCTCCCTGCACACGTTGCTTTTTTTAACTCCTTACTCACAGAGGGAAAGGCTGCCAGGGATGAACACCAAGGTCTGCACAGGTCACTTTAAATAGAGGGGAGGGGGTTGGGGGGATGGGTTAGCCTGGTGATGGGTATTAAAGAGGGCATGTACTGAATGGGGCACTGGGTGTTATACGCAAACAATGAGTCATGGAACACCACCTCAAAAACTAATGATGTAATGTATGGTGATTAACATAACATAAAAAAAATTAAAAATAAAAAAATAAATAGAAGTCACAGGCTCTATTTCCTTTCCATCTTTTATACCATTTTTAGTCATGGAGGCCATAGGTTGTATTCCAATTCACAGCTTTCCCAAAGCAGATACAGTTCTATACAACAAACAATGCAGGCCCAATGTTTCCCAATCATCTTAAAGTTAGCATTCCAAGGAAACATTGTTGTGGGACCCTAAGGTCAGTCTCAGGCTAAATGTTAACCCCTGCATTTTACACAATATATATAAATGCCTTTATAGGTTTCAAAATACATATTGTTTACATATAATCAGAGCTTATATAAAATTCCTTCTCCTGTAAATCAACTGATGAGTTATTTTGTCCATTAATGTATCTCCCTTTCTCCTCATACCTCTTGGGTGCAATTAAGGAACATAATGTTCTTCAGTTAGTTCTTTCAAAAGTATCTAAAGCAGATGGTCCAAAGTATGGGGCATTATTTAGATGATGCACTAGTATATTAATATACTTATCTAGTTTACTTTTTAAATATTCTCTGTAATATTGGTGAAGATATGGAGAAAAAGGAGCCCTCTTGCACGGTTGGTGGGAATGCAAACAGATGCAGCCACTCTGGCAAATAGTATGGAGGTTCCTCAAGAACTTAAAAATAGAGCTATCCTACAATCCAGTAATTGCGCTACTGAGTATTTACCCAAAAAATACAAAAACACTAATTCAAAGGGATACATGCACTCCTATGTTTATAACAGCATTATTTACAATAGCCAAATTATGGAAGAGCCCAAGTGTCCATGAAAAGGTGAATGGACAAGTAGATGTGGTGTGTATGTATACACACACACAAAATACACAATGGAATATTATTCAGCCATGAAAAAGAATGAAATCTTGCCATTTGCAATGATGTGGATGGAGCTAGACAGTATAGTGCTAAGCAAAATAAGTCAGAGAAAGACAAATATGATTTGTATGATTTCACTCATATGTAGAATCTAAGAAATAGAACAAACAAGCAAAAGAAAAAGAGAGAGAAACCAAGAAACAGACCTTTAACTGTAGAGAACAAACTGATGGTTACCGGAGGGGAGGTGAGCAGGGGATGGGTGAAACAGGTGATGGGGATTAAGGAGTGCACTTGCTGTGATGAGCACTGGGTGTTGTAGGGAAGTGGTGAATCACTATATTGTACACCTGAAACTAATATAACATGGTGTGTTAACTGTACTGGAATTAAAATTTTAAAATGTTATCTATAATAACATATTATCTTATAATAGACGTATGTTGTAGCATGTGTGTTCATGTTATAATGTAATGTTATATTTATATTATTAGATTAGTATTAATCATATCATAAAGAGTTGCCATTACAGGTTCCCATTCTTTACTACTGTGTGCCTGTTTTGGCCCTTGACAATAGGAAGAAAAATTCTTTACTCTTGCTTATCCTGGCTCCCTACTTACACTTTGAGCTCAAGCCATAATCACTAACATGTAATGGCTTTATTGTCATTCCCTATCATGCAGGATATTGCTCTCAGCTATTTACATGAATTACCTTATTTAATCCATATAGTGACCCTGTGAAGCAGATACGGTCACTGTCTGCATTCTGTATAGAAGGCACTGAGAATTAAAGAAAACTTGGCTCAAGTGCTAGGAAAGAACTAGAATTAAGATTTAAACCAAGCAGCCTAACTCTAGACTTCACAATATTGAACAGAGTATCCTACTCCTTCCCAAGGTATTTCATGTTTCTCAACCCCAGTGTCATCATCCATTTATAAAATGGGGAAAAGAATAGTATCTGTATCATAGGATTGTTGGGTGGATTAAAGAAGGCTGTAAATGTGAAACTTCCTAACATGGTATTTGGCACATTGTAAGCCCTTAATAAAAATAGCCTATAATCATACTGATATATTCTACTCTAATCCAAATGTCTTTTTTTTTTCCTTTTCATTCCGATCATCTTATTTTGTTTTACTTGATTATACTTAGACCCACAAACTATAGCCTACCTTCCCATTTTATGTTGCGTATAAAAGAATTCCCTTGTACAATTTTCCTTAACATAAAAGAAAGTTAGAAGGAAGTATAAAGGCAGAATGTCTGGCATCTAGTATGCAATACATCATTATGCTTAGTAAATGAATATACTTCTTTACTTTTATTGGTTGGAGTTGGGTATGCATTTGTGAGAGTGTGTGTTTTGAATTTCCAAAAGAAAAAAAAATGCTTATTGTCTTTAAAGCATAGGATTTGGGGGAAGACTATTAATAAATGATTGTAATATGTGAATTAAATCCTAACATGTAACCCATGTGAGTAATCCGTATCCTCCTGTAAAATACCAAATTCAGTAAATTTCTGTAACATTTTAAAGCAAATAACTTTAGAATATATTTATTTTTTGCTTTTTTATTTAAACCATGGGAATCTTTTCCTCTTTTTTTTCCTTGCAGGTTTCTAGAGATTTGCCTGAGAAACAAGGAGAAATTGAGGCACACATAAAAGACCTTGGGCAGCTGGAAGAGCAGTTAAATCATCTGCTTCTGTGGCTGTCTCCTATTCGGAATCAGTTGGAAATTTACAATAAGCCGAATCAAACGGAACCATTTGACATTAAGGTAGGGACTTTTTGCTTTAAATATTGTTTTCCAAAAAATGGCAATATCACTGAACTAAGTTTCTCATCCATTATCATAATCATCGTTGTTATGTTAATAATAATAATAAATTGACTAGCATTTTTTGTCTTACAGCACTTACTAGCAATAACATATTCATTAAGCTCTTATCACTAGAATGCCTTCATCATCTTTGTTATTATGACCTGTTTCCCATCCCTACTTCAATTGCAATCAATATATGTTTGTAGACTCCTTATCTAAAACTAAAGTTGTTTAGGAGATTAGGTGCCTACCAAATAAAGTATAGGCTCTTTAGTAAATATTAGAAAACTCTCTCAGACTGACTCCAGTTTACCTTTGTATCCTTTTATTCTGCCAACAACCTCCCTTTATATCCTAACTACAACAAATTATATGTTATGTTTATATGTGTGTGGTTTCATGCCATGTCTGTGTTCTTGATCTCTCTTCCTTAAATTACTTCTTTCTCCTTTGTTGGCATGATGAACTTTTCTATATCCTTCAAGACTGAATTCAATGTCTTTACTTCTTCAAAACTTTTTTCCATACCCAGGTAGAATAAAAAACCCTCTTAGGATTTCTTATAAACCCTCTGTGTCCATTTCCTGTAACCTTTGTACATTGATTTACACTTAAATTTTACAGACCTGAGTACCTCATCACACTCTTCTTTGGATACAGAGGGCATCTTCTTACTTACCTGCCTCATTCCCCTCCTTTCTGAACACCCCCATCTCAGGGCGCAGTGTCTGGTGGGTACTTGTATTTTTGAATAAAAGAATAAAGGTGGTAATGAGACACCCAGAATGGTAATGTGTTGCCACAGGTAAACCTAGTGCTCTAGACCAACATGCCAATTGGACGCCACTATCTTCTCGTTTTAGGGTCCCTGTAGACATGATTGTCCCTATCTTCTCTTTCCTCCCAGGAGCGTATTCCAAAGACTTAGCCCAACTTGATACCCTGCTTTGCATCTCCTTTGGGCCAATAACATTAAACAGCTAATCAGATAAACCAATTAAATTGAAATCTCAACCTCTTGATTAATGTAAGGATGGGCACTTTCAGACTAAGTAAGTTAAGTAACATCTTGAGTAAAGTTTTTCTTTTAGTTCACTGACCCTGATTTTTCAATTTGCTTGCTTTTCAGGGTTATCACAACCTCATGTTTTTTTATCTCCACGTAGGTGCTGTTTTGCTGGGAGATAAGGCAAGGATAAAATTAAGTGTGAAGATATTCTAGAGAAGAGAAAGTCCAAGTGTGGGAAAGATGGGCTTGAGTGAGATTAAGGGGAGAGAGAGAAAAAGAGAGGTTGGGAACAACTAAAATGAGTTATATTTGCAAAGCGCACTCCACTACTTTCACCTTACCTCTTCCTAATGTGTATATCCACCGTTCTGTTAGCTGCCCCTGCGCACAGATGATCCCATGTACATTGCAGATAGACATCATTTCACCACTGCAAAACCCAGGCTGTTCATCCAGTGGCATGGTCTTCCGTTCAAGTCTGACGATTAAAGTCAAGTCACAGTAGGCTTTACCCAAACCAAATTTAGTTGGCTTTATGAAAGTATACAGGACAAGGAAAAACACATCTAGCACAGTGGTGACACAGTAGAGGTCTTGACACCAAGCCCTGGCTTCTGATGAACCACTCACCCTGCATTTGGGTTAGGTGTAGTCACAGGGACAAGCCTGGGTGAGGGCAAAGCCGTATCATCATTTGGGGAAGCCACCAGTCCTGGAATGCCTTCAGTGTTTTCACCTTGCTAGCACAGTGTCCTTAATGGTATTTGACTGCGGTGCATTCTCCAGTGCAGCTGCATTTCCTAGATGCTCATTTTTCTGTAGTCAGTACTCTCAACAAAGAAGTACAGTTACTTAGTCCAACAATCAATAACCTCAGCCAGATTCTGTTGGATCTAGCATAATCTTAAATATTTCTTGATTTAGTATTATAAAGAGGAAGGCCATAAACTCTTTGTTCCCAATCAGAAGGAGCTTTCTGTAACTCACAGGTAAAAACACATTCCTTTACTTTTAAATATAATCTTTAGTTAAAATGAGCTCCTTCATTTACGTAAAGAAAAAATATATTCAATATTAGCTATCTCTGTACATGGAATACAGTTGATAAGAAGGATAACGAAATCCTTCGATACAAAGGGATGCTGTTGACTCAACCAAAGTGACTTTAGTCCCAGTCTCACTCACCCCCCCCCAACTGACAATGGTTCCCAAATATGGAAAACTTGCATTGGACATTTGTTTATCCATGGCCCATACATCCAGGCCAAATAGGTCCCTGCAGCTTAGAGTGAAAGCTCCTCTCAGCTGTGTTAATCACTTTGCTTTATCAAAGCTACAAGTCCCCACTCTCACTGCTGTGTGTACTTTCAGAGAGTCATGATATTTGCCTCCTGCAGCTTGGTCTAAATCACTGAGGGGAGAGGCAGCTGCTTTTTCCCTGGCAGTAAAATTCCTTGGCTTCAGTCCTCTGTGCATATTCTGAGTTTCTCATCTCTGGAGTGCAGATTTCAAAAATATTCCCTTAGCCTTTTTCTTCTTCTCTGTGGCTATATCCAAGGCAAAAAAGATCGTAAAATCATATATATGATGACTTGAGATATTCTCGCCATAATTCTCTGACCCCTAGCTTGTTATCAGGAAATAGCGACCTGTGTGAATAATTTACTAACTTACCTAGTCCTTTATCCCTCTTTGTCTAGCTTCTATCTAAATTCACTGTCTAATAAATGATTTATTAAGATTGCTCACAGTTCTTCTACTATAAGATACGTGATTTTAGTCTGTACAGCCTGCTATAGCCCTCTACTTAAAGAGATTAAACTTCTTTTTTCAGTTAAAGAAAGATGGGAAAATGGGTTTTAAACTACTGAAAACCAAAAATAGTTTTCAAACACTTTTGTGGACATACCCATTTTTTAACACAGAGAAAGAAACTCCTTTCTAAGCTCTTAGGAATGAATGAATGAATGCAAAGAAAATAGATGCACAAGGAGCCTCCAATTCCTAAATGTAAAGAAATTGTCTTTGTCTGTCCATGGTGGCCATGGCTACCTCTGAAACAAAGAGCCTAAGGCCTTGACATCTGGGTCATTTGTTTTCTCTAGTCAAACTCTGAGCACCTGGTAGAAAAATATGTAATACCTCTGTGAGCCTCAGTTTTGCCTGCTTGGCACTTCATGCTTATTGATGAAATGCAGCTAGCTGTGTAATGAAACCCAAATAAAAAAAAGCCTTAAGGGCTCTGTTTGAATACATTGTTTATGCTGGAGTGAAAATTGACTGCACATCGCTTGGCTTGTGCAATTTACTCCCGAAATATTCCTATTCAGGAAATCCTGCAAATAGCAGTATTTATCTTGAAAATCACCTCACAGAACCCTTAGCAAACTGAGAAACATAATCAATGAGATCGTGATATAGAAGGTGAAAATTAGGCATAATCACAGACCTTTCCCTTCAGTCAGCCCACTAGAAGGCATGCCTTTGAATTTAGATTTTCAAATGTACTCTCAATTTAGACATAAAATATGTTGATTTCAGATTTTAGAAATGATAATTGAATGCTAGGAACGAGGGACCAGTTAGAATTTCTATAAAGGGTCTTATGTTTTTAATCTTTAATGAATGCTGTCAATAATGAGCTGTAGGTATACTATTTATCTGACATAAAACTGCCTAACTACTGCTTTCTAAACTTTGTATTAGAATATGAGGAGGGGGGACACATAATGTTAAGTCTTACTGACTGAAATATCTTCATATTGAAGACAGGGAGGGTTTCTTCTTCCCTTCAGGAATGACTTTGCTTCTGTCATCTATAAATAACATGACATACTGTTCTGCTGCCTCTTCTTTTCCATGTAAGAAACTTAGTTGCCCATAATGACAAACCCACACAGAAAACTACCAAAGGACACAACTGGAGTGACGGAATGATAAAGTACATGAGCATCCAAACCCTTCTGTGTGTTCATGTTGCTGTGAGTGTTGTCAAAAAAAAAAAAAAAAAGGCACCAGATAATAGGCAAGGAAGACTATATTCAAGACTATTGAAATAGGAGAGAGAGACTGAAGTCAACTCCATTGAATCAAAAGGCAGCAAAGATTTTAATCACTGGGGTGAGCTAGTATTAAAGTACTGGGGGACACTGGCGGGGCTGTTGGTCACTGTGATTTGGCCTTGCGTGTTTGCCAATTGTCCCTTACTGAAGGGAGGTTACTATCCCCACCCCCACTGAGATGGGGCGCCAAGGCTAGCCTTCCTGATATTTACATTTCAATACGGTGGCTCCCAGGTATTTGAGAAAGACATTCCCAGGTTGTAGAAGACCTACTCTGAGAAACAAACAGGGTTTTAGAGGGGAGGGGGGAGGGGGGATTGGTTAGCCCAGTGATGGGTATTAAGGAGGGCACGTACTGCATGGAGCACTGGGTGTTATACGAAAACAATGGATCGTGGATCACCACATTAAAAACCAATGATGTATTGTGACTAACATAACATAATAAAACTAAAAAAAAAAAAAAGAAGACTTACCTCTCAAAGAGGCAGATAAAGAATTTAAGTTGAAAGTTTTCTAAAGTACATGCACTAAGAAAAGAGAATTCAGGCCTATAATCAGGAAGAAACCCATCTAATCCTTTAGTCAACCTTAAGGAGAATGCCGAGGCCATCTTTGTATAAACCCAGTTTCCAAGTCCAGAGGGCGGCCAATGAAGAAGATTCCTAGAGGTTGGGCTGGAAATGTCTTTAGATGGTGAAGTGACAATGGCAGTGGCCATTTTATGACTATTTGTTTTTGTTTTTTTTAAAGATTTTATTTATTTATTCATGAGAGACAGAGAGAGAGAGGCAGAGGGAGAAGCAGGCTCCCAAGGAGCAGGGAGCCCGATGCGGGACTCGATCCCAGGACCCTGGGATCATGACCTGAGCCGAAGGCAGACG